TAATCAAATAATTTGAATAAAAAACTCTAATTAAAGAATATCAAGAAAAATTATATATACATGTAAAAATCAAAAATTTATTGCTCATTCATGAACAAAATGATTAATATAATTAATATTAATACAATGATGATAAATTGTGATTTGAATCATTTCTTTCTATTGTGTTGTTATTGTTATCTGACATTAAGGATTTGTTGATGATGGTGAATGAAAATGAAGTTGTTATTATCCATTATTATTGGTTTAAGCATGTATGGTATGTCTAAAAAATAATTTAAAGAGAAATAAAATTTGATCAATTAAATGTTTATTGATAACATCAATTTGCAGGAAAAGGATCAAATTTCTGGGTTGGCAAAACATTTAGAATTAAATAATCAATAAATTATGCATTGGATAATACTTATCTTATTATTACACAACACATGATTCAATTCTCTTCATGTTTCTTTTCAAATCATCTCTCTTCTACTTCACCATTGTCAGTCCCATTGTGAATATCTTTAATTTGTTGCAAAATCAATAATAATCTTCTTTCTTTTTTGATGCCAGTCCTTTGAACTGTGGACAATTGGTTTCATTTAATGATCCAATTAATGATTGAATTATCAATATTAATTCCCTGTTTGACATTGAATTTTCTGATAATTTCTTTTCTTCTTCTTCAAGAGTAATTGGTATGATGCGCATAATTCTTCTAGATGGCTTTATTGAACCTAGTTTTTCTTTAATGAAATCTATTCAATGAGCTTTAGCTGTTGAGCTAAATGATTTCATTGCCTCACTTAATTTATTGTTTTTATCCAAGCTTTCAAAGGCACGATTAGGTTCAGATGGATCCAAGGAACCAGTTTTCCTTAATTCTATTTGAAAGCGCTGTGATTCTTTTCCAAAGTCTGGACGTGAATGAGAACCTGTACTTTCATGATCAGCATAACCAATTGTAGAAAATAATTTCTTTCAAAGCTAGTGGTAAAAAAATTTTAAGTATAAAAATTTAAGTATAAAAAAAAATTTTTACAATACAAATAATAATATTAATGATTACCATCAAAAACTTGATACAGTTCCTAGCAGCAATCTCCCAATGTTTTTGTGTAGGAACAGGTGGTACAAGTGCTTTTAATGCTTTATTCACCTCTTCAAGTATAGCATCTAAACCCTGGTGTTGAGACATCCATCCAGACCTAGACCATCAGGAAATTTTTTCTGATGCAAATTTGCGTAATATTATGGGGCCTGCCGTAAACTTACATAAATAGTGTAATTTTATGCAAAAATTATGCAAAAATTACGCAATTATTACATTCAGTGTAAATATTATGTCCTTTTTATGCGTAATATTACGACATTTCATATTAAAACTTACGGATGTAATATTATGGCGAGAAAAGTTTCCTGATGACACAACAGAATTTTGTTCATGATCTGACGAACTTCAGGACAAAGATGTAATTGTTGTTCTTCATCAGCAACCTCAATTGATTGATAAATAGGGTGTCTTCTTGCTGACCATATTGGAGCAAAAATTCTTTGTGCTGCTGCTTTAAGGAGTGGTTGTTTGTCCCTTATTCCAGCACGATAATTGATTATAGCTTGTAAATACCAAAAGATCTTAAAAATTGATAATGTTTATTAGCATTTATTTATAAATTTATTATCATCAGATAATTTTCAATTGTTTACCTGCTGAAATTTTAATTTATATAATTCATCATTTTGGTTTGCAGCCCAATCAAGATATCCCTCAACAGAAGGATTAGAAACTGTAGCAACATATGACCATACCAATTCCATTGACATTGCATGGCGGTATATATTGCAAATTGAATCCCATGCTTTGTGATAGTCTCCACATTTTTTAAAATAACCCAATTGAGGTTCTGAACGAAATCCTTGACATAGTGCAAATCTTTTTAAATCAATATTCCTAAAATTAAGAATAAATAAATATTAGCAATTATTATATTAATAAATAAATATGCAATAAATAAATAAATAAATATGCAATTAATAAATAAATAAAACAATATACCAATTTAACTCTACAAAAGCTTTTAACATATTCATTTCTTCGTGAAGTTGTCCTGGAATCATGAGAATTCTTGGATAGTCTTCCTTAATTTTTTGTGCATAGTTATATGGAACTCCATCACAAACTACTGGAATCCATTTTCTTTCACTTTTGTTGATTCCACTAATTTCTTGAATGTGATCTAACACTTTACGAACATTTTCAATAGAGTTAGGGTTTAATGGTAAAGGATCTGGAAGAGAAATGTCAGGCACCTTAACACCATCTTGAGAGGATGATTTTTGAGTTATACTAATTGGATTTATATGTGGTGCATCGGAAATTTTGGTAGAATTTTGGTAGAATCTGATATGTAAAGGTTTTGTGGTATTTGTTGTCTCTAAGATTGATTGGCTAGCTTCTTGTTGAATTTCAGCAATATTGGCCAATTTTTCATCACAATCAGGACATTTACGTCATAAATTTTCTATCTCTGTTTTACCACATTTATTACACCTTTTTTGTTTACCCATTGTTGTATTATGCTCAGCTGCTAAATAATCAATAATATTTGTATCATTTTTTTCTGCACATGCTTCATTTAAGATGACAGAAAGATAGTCATAAAGTTGTTGGTCAAGTAATTGTTGCATTTCAGGCGTGACATCAAAAAGCTCCTCAATCTGTGATGAATTTAATTTTTGATTTAACCATGGTTCCTGAGTTGTTTGTATTTGATCAATGGGATCAAAATTAAATGCAAGAAAACTAGTAACTGTATGAAAAACCACCGTGTTATAATTACGATCTAAATAGTTCTTCACCCCCTTTTGCTCGTTATCAAAGGCCAAAATTAGTAAACCTTTTGGAAGTGGTATAGCTTCACCAGCTAAATTTTCTTGCCATTTGATGAATTTCTTGTAACCACCAGAACTCAAAAAGTGACTATCTAAATCAATAATTGTTTTTGATTTTGCTATTGAGTATTTGACAGCTGATGCAGCTAAATTAATTGCAGAAACATATTTACAATGTCTTGTGCCATAAATAGCATCAACTGCTATTGCACATTTAAAAAGTTGTTCTTCAAGGAGATTTTCATTTTCATGTGTTGTAATTTTTTTTATAAATTCTACAACTACTGGATTTTGCCTAGCAAGCCATTCAGAAGTAGAGTATCTTAAAAGTCATGACCAGTCTATTGCCAACCCCGATCAGTGCCTTAATAGCAAGCACTAATCACCGATCAAAAGAAAATTTAGTCATGCGAGTAAAATATCATGTGAAACTGACTTATCAAGTTCACATATTTGGTGCAACTTGCTGAATTATTTATTTCTTGCTCGTCATGAATAATAAAAATTCATTATTATTAACAATAAATAGAATTTTAAATAAACCAAACAAATCAAATCCATTCACTTCAATTATTAATAACATCAACATTAATAGAAGTAGTAATAATATTAGGAATAGATATTTATTAAATTATTTCTGCACAACAACTATTTATGAAAATTCACAAAATCAACCAAATGATGATAAAATCAATAATAACATAATCAAGAAAAAGAAAAAAATAGAAATAATTTTAAATGAAAAGGATTTAATAGAATCGTTTATTAAAGGATCAGGAAATGGAGGCCAAAAAATAAATAAAACTTCAAATTGTGTTAATTTAAAACATGCCCCAACTGGATTCAGAGTTCAGGTAACTAACTAACTAATTATTATAATAATAAATAATAAAGTAATTTGGTTTTTATTTTATTTAATTAGTGTCAGGAAACAAGATCATTAAATCAAAATAGATCAATTGCTAGAAAAATATTAATTGAAAAATTAGATAATTATTATAATAAAGGTTTTAGTAAATCTGCTCAAAAATCAAAGAAAATCAAAAGAAAAAAAGAAAAAAGAAAAAAAAGATCTTTACAAAAATATGGAAATAATGCAATTAAACATGAGGAGGAGGAAGAGAAAATTGGGGGGCGGTAATGGGGGATGAGAATGGATTGAGAGAATTGGAAGGATTGAAAGATAAAGATAAATTGGGAAAATTGGGGGTGGAAGTTAAAATGAAGAGAGGAAAAATATATAATAATGAAAGTAATGATAACTATGAGACATAATAATATAATAATAAAATAGTAATATATAAAAATTTTCTACAGTTCACCCATCATAAGATTTAACTGACAAGGATGGACCTTTACATCAATGTTAATATGAGAATATTTGTATCATTCATTACTCATGTTATTATCTCATATAAAATTTTACCTTTCTTTAAATTTTCTGGACTTCTTCATAATTTAAATATTTGTAAATTGTTGATTTATGACAAAGTGGTGTTTAAACACCCACCCATGATGATTTATATCTTTGGTTTCATATCCTCAATGCTTTACTGAATGTGAATAGATAACTTTATGGTTGCTTGCCAAAACTCCTTCAGAAATCAATTGGCAGAGTTCCATTTTGGGTCTTTTCAATATCTAATTGTAGTTGTGAATATTTTTGTCTGACCTCAAGAGTCTTAACATTAATTTGAAGTTAGTAGTTATAATTGTTTTGTAATTCTGCTAACATATCTATATGTTTTTAAATTTCTAAATGAAGTAGTGTCTCATCTTTTGATTTATTGTGCATACCACTTAATGTTTTTCTAATTGTTTCTTTTCAGTGGACATTTCTTTAAGTTCTTGAATTACTAAAGAAAGCTCACTTCTCATCTTTTGAAATTCTTTATTTTTTTATCAAAATCTTTTGATTGGAACTTTTGAAAAATAAAAAATAAAAAATTTATTTGTTATTTTAAATTGTTTAACTAAAAAGCTATGTTTACCTGGAATTCAGCTCTTTATTTTTCTAGATTATCTTTTAAGTGTTCATAATCTTGTTTTGTGTTGCTGGAAATCATTTCAAGTATTTCAAGAAAATTCTTAAGAACATATATTCCCTTATTCAATATATTGATTCCTCATTTAGCAGAATCCAAATCATAATTCAATTTATTAATTAATGCTCCTTGTTCATTTTGCTTGTAAACTGACAATTTTTCTTGAGATTGCTTGAGTTCATTAGATTGCAATTCAACTTTTTTCTTTAACTCTTCAATTTTAGTTTTGTAATTTAAAAATTTACTATTTGCTTGTTAGAAGAACCCAAGTTTTTGTCCATTTAAGGTTTGCATTAAAATATTTTCACTCAAAGCTGAGAATTGTTCTTTAAGATTTTCATTCTTAGCTTGTGCATTTATTAATTTCTCTTGATTTTGGTTATACTTTTTCTCAAGCTCTTCATTAGCCTTTTCAACAACTGTGCTTCACTATAAGAACTTTCTACTTTCTCTTTAGTAGTATCCAAATCATTCAATCATTTAGCATAATCTTTTTGTAATCCAGATAATATATTTTTAGTTGAATCAATCCTGATTTTAATTTATCAACATCAGCACTCATTACTGTTTTATCAACATCTGCCTATCAAATAATTTATATATAATGAGTCAAATATCAATTAAACACCTGTATATACTAAACAAGCACTCATATGAAAAAAAAGTTAAATACTTTTGTGAGTAATACTTGAATTTGTTTATTTAATTTACTAGTTTGATATAATACTTGTTTATAACTGTGATATCCACTTTCTTGAGATTAAAACATGTTTAAGAAGTTCATTTTTTTCTAAAGGTTGTAAATTATTTGTATTTTTTTAAAAAAATGCTGTTTTATATATGTACACACATACATGAAAGGCTAATATTTGAATATATCATTATAAATACAGTGCGGATCATCTATACTCAAAAGTTAAAATTTTTGAAATATTATGTGATCCACACATTGGATTTTAAAA